AGACTCGGGTTCCTAACAAATCATACAAGGGTTATTGAAATGCTTTTAGTGTTGAATAACCTTGATATATGAGACTAAAAAATAGAATTAATGTTGAGAAAGTAATTTTAATAATAATAATAAAAAAGAATAAAATGTGAATTTATTACGTTACACCTTCAATTTTAAAAGGGTTTTTGAAATTTTTATTAGGTTGAGAAGGATGTCTACCATCGAAATCGAACCCCAATACTTATTGTTATTGTTATTGGAATTGTTGTAATAATAATAATAATAATAATAATAATAATAATAATAACAACAACAACAACAACAACAACAACAACAATAATAATAATAATAATAATAATAATAATAATTAACATAATATATTATTATATATGAGTTAATATCATCTGAGGTCCTTCAAGTATAGTGATTTTGCCACGTTTAGTCTGAAACTTTTATATTGACCATCTGTGGTCCTCCGACTTTCAAATTTAACCATTCGTGGTCCATAATGTTAACCACTCATGGTCTTTCAACTACGGATGGCAATGGGGCCGCCCCCGCCCCCGCCCCCGCAATCCCACCCCACTCCCCATACCCGCGCGGGTAATGAAATTCCTTCTCATACCCGCCCCCGTGGAGATTTTGCGGGTGCAGGGAATACCCGTGGGGATTTTACATATAACCTTAGTCTCATTAATAATATGAAACTTACACCTAATAAGATTTTTATTACTACAATTTATAATATTAATGCATCAAAGTATTCACCAAATAACTACCAACTTGAATATTACATTTACTTCCAACTTCAACATTAGTGTATAAAATCTTAGCCACTAGCACCAAAAAATAATTAGAAGCTGTAATAGTAGTGAGTTGGGACCTTCCCTTACTACCTAAAAATCTAACAGATTAAATAAATAACATAATACTTTGATATTGACTTAAATATAATAACACAATATATATATATATATATATATATATATATATATATATATATATATATATATATATATATATATATATATATATATATATATATATATGTAGCGGGTGTGGGTGCGGGGCAAGGATACCCCTCCCCGCACTCGCACTCGCCCCCATACCCGCGCGGGTTTAAAACTCTCTCCCTATACCCGCACCCATTACTCAAATTATGCGGGTATTTTATTACCTATTGGGACATGACGTTTCGCGCATAATAATTGATTGTTGGGCATGATGTTTTGCGCACCCTCGACTAGTATATATATATATATATATATATATATATATATATATATATATATATATATAGGTACACAATTTATTAATGTACATAATATAAATTTTATTTTAGACTAGGATCTTTAATGTAATATAGATCCTAATTCATGGTGTTTGTGTGTGTGTGAAGAATGAAAGTAAAAGTTGGAAGTAAGTTTTTGGAGTATAACTAATATTTTTTTTTTAATTTTAATTAACCTGACATAACACATACGGCTGGAAATTATGACATTTTTGACTACCAGAAAGTGATTTTAAATCAATTCAAAAGCAAAAAGTGGTCGGAAATAGCAACAAAAGTTTTTTCGGATACCAAAAGTGATTGGAACAAAATTTTAAAATTGATTTAAGATCACTTTCAGGTGATCAGAAATTCCATAATTTCCAACAGTGACAAATAAATTGCTCTCCAATTTTCCACATACCCATTTCCTTTCCTCATATTCGTTTCCATTTCTCTACAAACGTAACAACAATTCTTTCTCTCTTCATTTAAAAATAATAAACTCTAATTTTTATTTCGGAAAATTTTTTTAAAATTTTTTATATTTAAATGTTTTTATGTTTACATTTTTTTTTTGGAAACCCAGAAACCCATTTTATAAATATTACTTGTCATGTTTTATCCCATCGTTATACCCTCTACCACGGTGTACATAGTAATGTGCGTCCCGCGCCTCCCAAAACGACGTCGTTTTGTTAAGTTATGTGTGAAGTCGACGCAACAGAGTGTATGTGTATTCTATTATATAATTATGTACATTATGTTATACAATTATGTACATTGTTTTATGCAATTATGTACATTTTTTATACAATTATGTACATCCGAACACGTGATTTTTTTTAACAGTTAAAAGTTTATGTATATTCTGTTATACAATTATGTACATTCTATTATACAATTATGTAGATTTTCAAAACATTGGATTTGTTACGAAGTTAATAGCAAACACAGAAAAACGAAATTTTTTTTTAAAAAAAAGTACAAAATGAAGTCTTTTTGTACTAGGGCGCACAATGCAATGTGCGCCCTAATGCAGGATATAAATTGCCTATTTTATCACATCAAAAAGTAAAAGTGAAAGAATAAAAATTAGAAGTCAATCTAATAAAACTCTTTTATTTGTTCCCATATCATCTTTCTTTTCCTTCTTTTTTATCTCACATTTCATTTATTATTAACATCTCTCTTTTCCTCTTACAAGATCTTGTTTTAAAAAGTGCTCCCTTTTCATTTGAATCTCTCATCTTCTACTTCATCAATTTTTATGGGCATTGCTATTTGTAACATTCTCTAGCAAAAAGTGAATGTGTAAATAACTTTGAAATTGTAAAAAGGTATAAAAATTTCAATAATTTTATAGGTGGTATAAATAGTAATAAGGGTGTAAATATGACTATTTATATCAACCTGGTCAAATATAATTTACAAAATTTCATTAATAATTTTTAATTAAAAAATAAAAAATAAAAACATTTAAAAAATAAAAAACTATGAGTATTTTCATTTATAAAACTACGAGCTTTTCATGGAATTGGCTATTTTGTTTGCTACTAAATAGTCATTTCAATGCCTTCCATGATATTAGTTAGGAATTAATACCCCATTAGAAATAACTAAATTTAATTTAGGGAAAATTGTAATTTATGCCCTTCACAAATATGCCAATTATCAATGTTACCCCTGAATTATTAGTGATGTAAATGTTGCCCCTCAATTTTCAAAACGTGACATATATTGCCCCTCTCCTGAGTTATTAGTGATGTAAATGTGGTTACCCGTCGTCTTTCTTGTTCGAAGACCACGTTTTTTTCCTCAATTTTTCTTTCTTCGCTTGTTCTCCTTTCGTCGACAACAAATTTTCTCCTTCTTCATATTAGGAGAGGGGCAATATATGTCACGTTTTGAAAATTGAAGAGCAACATTTACATCACTAATAATTCAGGAGTAACATTGATAATTGACATATTTCTGAGGGGCATAAATTACAATTTTTCCTTTAATTTATTTAATACAAAAGATACCCTCATGTACTCTTCTTTGTGGAAGAGCCTTACGACTTCGTATTTTTGTAACAAATACATTAGTAGACTTTCTGGTATCGTCAATAATAATAAGCAAAAGAATTAAGAAGGTATGGGCAACTGCCTGCCCCCACCCTCCCTCTGCTGACAGTATATAAGCATGCATCTTCTCATAGCCAATACACTCAACATTTCTCAATCTTTAATTACCTTCAATCAGCATATCACTCGAAGCACGAGCTACCTTAATTCCTCAATCTCAATCTTTCAATTCCTCTCCATCTATACTCATTTCCTTTCTCTGTCTCCATCTGCTTCCATGGCATCCAAATCACTTTCGCTGCTACACTATGTAGTGGTTTTCTGTATTATGGTTCCAGCATTTACTCAGGGCCGTTCCAATAAAATTTGGGGCCCGGTACAATATCTTAATTTGGGCCCCCTTTTTCAAGTGATTTTTATATATAAATAATAGTTGTGTCAAAAATTCAAAACATAAATATTGTATAATAAATACATCTAAATTATCATTTAAAAAGTGACATGCGCCTTGCACACTTAGACGCAAAATCATCTAAACAACTATCAACATTCTTATTATTTTCATTGTCACAGTGATACCTATCATCGTTGCACTATCATTTAATTTTTTTCCAGTCTCACAATCATCTCGATCTTCTATATGAAGATTAGCATCTAACAGTTTTTCATTGGCATCATCTTTTTGCTCATCTATTTGAGTTTTTTTTAATAAATTTTTCAAGAGATTCCTTTTGAGATTGAGTTAGTTGCTCAATCCTTCTTTTCTTTTTTACGCTTCTCAGATGAATATTTTCTAGAAGACATAAAATTCTAAGAAAAAAATAAAAATTTATTTAGAAACTCTATCAATAAATATTTAATCAAAAAACGAATTCTGGAATATATTATTCTGAAATCAGAATTAAGTCATTTAAATAAACAATAAACAAGAATTATGAAACAATACGTAATTTTAATTACCTGTCAAGAGAATTGAAGAACTTGAGAGTTTGTATGATAAAAAAAGAATTGAAGAATTAGAAGCACACGAACTGAGTCTGTCGTTTTTGCGTCAATTCACTAAATTGTGCGGCCTAAAAGACGTCAAACAGCAAAAAATTAAGAATACAAATCAACAACAAAATTAAATATTTAAATAATTAAATTACTACAGCAAAGAATACAAAAAAAAAAAAAATCAAATAGCAAAAAATACAATTGAAATTTGATAATATCCAAATTTAATTTACCTAAATCCTAATCTAGCAATTATTAAAAAAAAAAAATCCTAATCTAGCACTACAGTAACTCAAATTAAATATTAGAATTGTTTCAATTGCCTAGGTAAATTCAAATTGTTGTAGGCAGTAGACTTGTAGTCTCTCACTCTCTCGGTCTGTATAGACTGCACTCTACCACAGTACTACTAGATTAGGGATTTAGGGTATGCTTTGTGTTTTTTGAGTTATTAGTTTTTCGCTACTTGCTTCAATGCTTTTATGCTTTGTTCGAACGCACTCTGCAGCTAGATTAGAGATTTAAGGTCTTTGCATTCAGCAGTTGCGATATATATATGGCATTTTTTAAAAAAAAAAAATTAGGGGCCCCCAAAATTTGGGGGCCCTGTGCAGCGGCCCTGGGCAGACTTGCCCAGGGCCGGCCCTGAATTTTGCTGATGAGTATGACATCAGCTCTGGGTATCCCGTCACGGAGCCGACGATCATTAAGAACGCTGCTTCCAAGGGAGCAGTTTGTCTAGATGGGAGTCCACCGGCTTACCACATCAGCGAAGGCTTTGGAGCCGGAAAAGACAAGTGGATGGTTTACCTCCTAGGCGGAGCTTGGTGTCCTACTGTCTCAGATTGTTATAGTCAATTGCGTGGACATCTTGGGTCTTCCATATATTGGAATGACACTAAACAAAAACAAAGATTTGGAGGCATACTTCACAACATCTCCAAATCGAATCCAGACTTCCACAGCTGGACAAAAGTGATGGTCAGATATTGTGATGGATCGTCTTTCACGGGAGATGTGGAAAATGTTGATCCAGCCACTGGCCAACATTATAGAGGTAAAAGGGTTTTCGATGCCATTGTTGATGACCTTTTATCTACCAAAGGAATGAAGGACGCCAAGGAAGTTTTACTGACTGGTGGTTCTGCAGGAGGATTGGCAGTTATAATCCACTGTGATCGTTTTGCCAATCACTTTCCGGGAACCACCAAAGTCAAGTGTCTATCCGATGGCGGTTTTTTCCTTCATTCCAACAATCCTTTGCAAGCCCGAGGGTTGGAGTCCATGTTTCGGGGCACATTTGTTTTACATAATTCAACCGGAGCCCTACCTAAGGCAACATTGATCGAATGAAAAGCAGCGGCAGAGAAGAATACTTATGCATGTTCCCACAATATATTGTGGAAGATGTTAAGACGCCGTTGCTAGTCATGGCCACTGTCTATGACTCCTATCAAATAAATAAGACATTGTCAACCGTTCTTTAGCAGGCGATTAAGCACAAGAAAATCTCCCCAACTCAGTATGGTGTTTTAGAAACTTTTAGATTTCAATTTTTGAATGTTGTGTATAAAACAACATATAAGTTGTCAGGAGTTTTCATTTCAAATTGTTTTACGCACACCCAACTTACCTTCCAAGGTTGGCACAATAGAAATTATGGAGTAAATAATAAGACCGATACAGAGGTAATTGGGGAGTGGTACTTCAAAGACAGATCTCACATACTAGAGATTGATACTAATCGCTTGGTCAAAGACTGTAATGACAATGTTTACATCAATAATTAAGGATGTTAATGTTTTGTTACCTTAGTTATTATTATTATTTGTATTTGTATAATAATATTAAGTTGTATCTTTTTATGCTTTAATTTGCTTCTTTTAGATCAATTAAAATGCTTTTCTAATGCTTTTCTATATCATACTACCAGAATCTAAATCAAGTGCTTTTATATATATATATATATATATATATATATATATATATATATATATATATATATATATATATATTACGGTCGTGAAATTTATATTCATATTAATATTAATATTTGAATATCTATATTGATTAATTAGAATACCATCATAATTTGAACATAAGATACGAATTGTATAGGCATATATACAAAAACACATCTTAGCTAGTTGGGACTAAAGCACTTCAACACCATAACGAACTACATGTGTCCTGCCAAATTAATTAATTTATATTTAGCCATAAAACAAAGCTAATTAATTAATTAATTAATTACCATTTCAAGTTACATTATAGCTCCATGCATGTGATGTCTATAAACTAAATTGTTATAAAATTGATCAATAGCTTTCTAAAAATGTAAACGTAGGTACATGTGGATAGGAAATTGGGAATTATTAAATAAGAAAATAGACATATATATTCATATATGGAAAACAATGAGTTGAAGTTTGTTCACTTAAATAAATTGGCATGAAATGTTCATTGTCATATACCTATTTCTATCTTTCATTGCAAAACATGAGCGAACATGCAAAGAATTTTTACTTGCATCTTATTGTAAGACTTTGTGAGATAACTAACTTTACTTACATCTCCACCACTTTCTTTATCTTGGTTATTACATTGGTCTATTGGTATAGGAAGATTGATTTGTAATTTTAATCACACATGAATATGTTGAGTGCAACACAATAATACTTTGTTCTAATAATAATTGAACATAAATAGTTTTCAAGAGTATGTAGTAATCATATTCAAAAATAATTGTTAATCCATTCGTTGAACATGCACTAAAAGTGCCAGCAAATTATATATTTAATAACAAATTGATCATAAATATAAATATTTTCAATCAATACTATCAGCACAAATTGATTATAAATATAAATATTTTCAATAAATATATAAATATGAGAGAAAGTTCTCCGTGGAGAAACTATCTTCTCTCCCATTCAATTACTATCTCTCCTTTTCTGCTTGATCTGGAGATGCGGCCCTTAAGGTATATAACATATTTAGCCAATAAATTGGATTAAAAATTGTTTATAATCACAATTTCTAGATGTCGAAAATAGCCATTTTAGTGGAAAATTATTTTTAAAAAATAACTCACACACACAATGTGGTATACAAAAACACATCTTAGCTAGTTGGGACTAAAGCACTTCAACACCACAACTGACTACATGTGTGGCCAAATTAATTAATTAAATTTATATTTAGCCATAAAACAAAGATAATTAATTAATTAATTAATTAATTAATTACGATTTCAAGTTACGTTATAGCTGGATGCATGTGATGTCTATAAACCAAATTGTTATAAAATAGACAATTAACTTTAAAAGCGAGCTCATTAATTATTATATATATTATCTTGATTTCTAAATAATTACTTTAATATATATACTTGGAAAATTATAATTTGATATTTTCTTTGCAGTATCTTGACGATGCAAATCCAATTCGATCTTATTAATTTAATGGACTCACAATATCAAACTGTACTGTTGATGGAGAGATTGATATTTTTGGAACATTTAATTAATAAACGTTTGTCAATGCATGTGGAGTTCATCAATAAGTTGTTCACTGCCATTGCAAAATATAGAATGTAAATGTGTGGATAGGGAACTAGCTATAGCTAGGAAAAACAGACAACATTAGTAATTAGTCTAATATATTTAAAATATGATCATTTCATATGTGTTCCACATAAAATACCCAAAATAATCTTAATTACAATTGTATAGTGTTAATTTCAAAATACATCTTACAATCTTACAATAAAAAAAATTATAATAATAATAATTATTATTATTATTTAAAACACTATATCGCTACTAGGTTAATTTTTTATTGAATGAACACAAACCGATAAAACAAACACTACAAGAAAATAGTGAGAATATATATGGATTAAATAAATATTGAAAATGAATAGCGGATAAAATGAATTGAGAAGATATTACTATTAATTTTTTTAAAAAAATACTATTGTCTCTATTACAAAGTAGTATTTGCTCAGTAATCACCTAAAGAGTAAATAGACCACCTCCGAGATTCGGTCATGTGATCTTCCTTCAAAAAGAGACACAAAGACAAATTATTCTGTGGACCCTAGTCCACCTTGCAAGGTGGACTTGGGTCCAAATATACATAATTTATATATTGTATGTTCACATTTTACCTATTGGATGTTCAAAAAATTTATATACTAAATGTTCACAATTTACATACTAAATATTCACAATTTGCATACTGAAATGTTCACAAATTTATATACTCAATGTTCACAATTTACATACTGAATCACAATTTAAATTATGAATATGTAAATTGTGAATCTTCATTAACCTTGAGGGCAGACGAGATAGGCACTCGCCCTGGGCCCATAGCTGGGAGGGGCTCCTAACTTATTTTTTTTTAATTTTTTGATGAACTTAAAAAAATGCTTTCATATAGGGGTGTAAACAAACCGACCAGGCTCGAGTTCGAGCTCGTTAATGGAAGCTCTGCTTGAGCTCGAGCTCGAGTTCGAGCTCGATCTTGAGCTTTTTAGTTGTTATTTTTATATATTACTACGTATAATATAATTATATTATATTATATATTATATACATTATATATTATACGGCTCGCAAGCGGCTCGACGAGCCACGAGCCTAGAATATTCAGGCCCGGCTTGAGCTCGATTATTAAACGAGCCGCTCGAGTTTGGCTCCAGCTCGATTTTGACCGAGTTAAGTCGAGTTTCGACCGAGTGGCTCAGCTCATTTACACCCCTACTTTCATATGCATAGATTTGAATTCATGACTTCAAAAGTATTTTTTAGTTTTAAATCTACTTAACAATTACAACCATATAATATACTTATCTCTGTTGAATTTATTTATAATTACACTTCATATAGGGACCCAAAGTTTGAATGGACACTACTCTAATGCTATTCTAAAATGTTTTTTTTTTAATAAAAAAAATTATATGTTTACAAAAATTCAAAACTGTCATTTAACTATTTTCAATTAACACATACAATCATTTAACTTCATATATTAAAGGGTCCTTATTTTTATTTTGCCCCGGGCTTATAAAATGATTGGACCAGTCCTGTTCGGGTCCATAGCATAACTATTGAACCATAAAAATGTCAATTGAGCACACGGTGCTTGACACTTGAATTGTGAAATCAAACATTCACCTTTGTAATATAATTATTATTAAAACATAAATTTGGTTTATATATATATATATATATATATATATATATATATATATATATATATATATATATTATATTACGTACAATGTATGTAGTGAATTGAATTATAATGATTTTTTTTTTGAAAGAAAATTATAATGATTAGGGAAAATTGTAATTTATGTCCCTGCATGATATGCCAATTATCAATGTCACCCCTGAATTATTAGTGGCGTAAATGTTGTCCCTCAATTTTCAAAATGGTACATATATTGCCCCTCCCGCACTGTATGGGAGGGAAAATATATGTAACGTTTTGAAAATTGAGGGGCAACATTTACACAATGGAGGGGCAATATATGTATTGTTTTGAAAATTGAGAGCCAACATTTACACCACTAATAATTCAGGGGTGACATTGATAATTGACATATTATACAGGGGCATAAATTACAATTTTCCCTAATGATTATTAGTATCCCAATTTCGATGCTTATGTAATGGTGGGCAATCAAGAGCTCACTACTGCCATTGTAGAATATAAAAATGTAAATGTAGTTACAGATGTGGATATGAAATTAGGTATTAGTAAATAAGAAAATAGACATATTCATTTATGGAAAATAATGAATTGAAGTTTGTTCAATTAAAACAAATTGGCACGAAATGTTCTTTGTCATATACCTATTTCTATCTTTCATTGCAAAACAAGAGCAAACATGCAATATAATATGCTATTAAAGAAAATTATCAAAGATTCAAAGAATTTTTACACCTTTTAATACGTCATTGACTCATTGTAAGACTGAGATAACTTACTTTACTTGTATTTCCACCATTTTCTTTACCTTTGTTATTACACTGGTCTGATCTATTGGTATAGAAGGATTGATTTGAAATTTTAATCAATCATGAATGTGTTGAATGCAACAGAGCGATATTTTGTTCTAACAATAATTGAACATATATATTTCTCGAGAGTAATCATATTGGAAAAATATTGTTAATCCATTCGTTGAACATTCCTACAAATTAAATATTTAATAACAAATTGTTCATAAATATAAATATTTTTAATATATATATATGTGTGTGTGTTAAGGTGCGTGGGGTTGTGCTTAATGTGAGTTGTTAAAACTTAAGGTGCGTGAATTTTGTGTTTAAGGTGCG